TAAATCTTAGTAAATGCAGCTTTAAATTCAATGATATGTTGGCATCAAGCCATTTATTTAAGATTTTTAATTCTTCCTCCACTGTATTCATAAGTTGTTTCAAATGTTCCCCACTGCAAAATATGGTAGTGTCATCTGCAAATAATTTACATTTTAATTTCTCAGATACCATCGATATGTCATTTATATATAAACAACAAAGGCCTGATCACTGAACCCCGATGAACCCCACATGTTACCTTTTGTAACTTTGAATTTGTGTTGTCTGTATCTACATATTGATATCTGTCTTCTAAGTAACTACATATCCAATCATGCACCACCCTTTCCAATTTTTTAAATAATAATGTATAATCTATAATGTCAAATGCTTTTTGCAAATCAAGAAAATTCCCACGGTATATTTGCATCTGTCAGTGGCATTTGATATTTCTTCAACAAGTTAATATGGAGCTCTTATAGCAAAAGTGGTGTTCCTAGTTTTTCTAAATCCATATTGCTGTTCACAAAGTATATTACTTTTTGTGACAAACTCAGTCATCCTTCTAACAAATATTTTCTACAGAATTTTTGAAACTGTGACAATAAAGATACCAGTTTATAATTTCTTAGAACATGTTTATCACCAGCTTTAAATATTGAAATGACTTTTGTGATTTTCATTTTATTGGGAAAGTTTCCAGCTTCCGCAGACTTATTGAATATAAGTGAATGGTTTTACAATATAATCAATAATATTTTTAATTAGACACATATTAAAGCCATTCCAATCTGTTGATATTTTGTTCTTCATTTTCTTTTTTACTATGTCAGTTATTGCTTTTACATCAGTACCTCTAACAAACATGTATTAATATTCATATTTATAATATTGCTGCCAACCTCATCTTTGTTCCTGGGTACCATCATTTCTTTAGTTAAATTTAGTCCAATGTTTAAGAAGATATCCATTACTTAACTAACAATTTCAACCATTTATTTGTGATTTAATGAAATATTTCATTTAAACAGTTGTCATTAGCTAATTATTTAGCTGTTTATCCATTAGGCCTAGGCTCTTTCAATTGTTTATTCATTACTTTAGCCAGCTTAACTATGTTAAATGTTTATTCATTAGTATTAGCGAATTATTCCTTCTGTTTATCGATTAATCATTTGAACTGTAATTAGCTAATTAATTCTAGTATTCATTCATAAATTATTGCAGATGTTTTTCCAGATGTTTATCCATTAGAAAAACATCTCAAATGTTAGGCAACTAATAGCTAAATATTTTAACAATTATCCGTTAGCTGTTAACTTTTTTTGCTAACTTGGACTGTTTATTCATTACCTTTATTTGAACAATTTATCAAAACTTTATGTATTTATTTTTATTTTTATCCATTCTAGCTAACTATTTAGCCATTTTTTTTAATTTTATTTATTCTAGCTAAACTACATTTCAACAGTTTATTCATTACCTCTGGTCATTATCAAACTTTGTTCTCTTTCCAACATGCAACATAATTTTTTGGAGATATTACCTATATCTATAAATAAAAAGCTAAAGTAATATTTCATCTCAGGTAAATAATTTCCTACTAATGAACAACAAATTGACAGTGAAGTCAGGTATCATTGTGGCCCACGGTCACATGGATCTGCCCTGTTACTGTTGCTGCACAAATTCCTCCCACGGCTCTTTAACTAAAACCATAACACCATAACGTAAGAAGCTGTTGTGTATGTACAGTACAGTACATTTATTCAAGTATTGTACTTGAGGTACTTTACTGTACTTCAATTTTATGTTACTTTGTATGTCAATATTTCACCACAGAAATATTGTAGTATTACTTCATTAATCTGAATGGTGCTAAAATGAGTTTAACCAGCTACTATTAAAAAATACATTGTCTTTGTTAAGGAATCATTAACAATCACTCCAACATTTCCAACATTACAGTACCCCCCCCCCAAATTAGGGTAAGCAGTATAGAGGTAAGGTAAGGTACATTTTGAAAGCAGGACTTCAGCATTGGTAATTTTACTTAAGTGCACGGTTTCAATACTTCTTCCACCATTTGTAAGAAGACAACTTTTAAATCTGATCCCAGAACCAGCTAATCTAGTGATTTCAACTCATGTAGATATACTAAATCAAATAGTTAAGGTGAAATACCACTTTTAGAATTGCTCTTAGTACTCCGAATAACTCCCTTCACCACCTGTGCTGCTCTTCCATCTCAGGACTAACAGCATGCAGCTCTGCTCTGTTTCATTATTGATAGGCCATATTGACCTGTTTGTCTTTCCTCACTGATGAGAATGATTTGGCTTCCTGTTTGTCCTCGCAGAGCTATGAGGAGAATCTAGATCCAGATACAGATCCATTAAAACCACACAGGTTTATCACCAGCGATCCTGTTTGCCATGTCAGAGGACATTCCACTGTGGATGAAGGATGCAGCTGGATGTAGCTAGCGTAAGAAACCCATTCCCTGTTTCTATATGGGTACTGACCAGCACAAATGGAAATGGTCTGTGGTGGAAACCAGGATCAGCTACTGCTTTAGTATGATTTGAGGTACATGTACTGAATACTTCAACAGTAAAGTTTCTCCACAAAAAGATCAGCCAGTGGTTTCCAGTGCTTTTGGCTTGTAACCCCTTACCAAAATAAGTGTCTAGGTGGAACACCTTCTTACATTTCAGAAAGAGACAGTTCAGTTAAACTCCACTTGTTTTATTTAAACAATTGAGGTAAAATAATCCAATATTTCAATAAACCACAAGTTAAAAACAAGTCATAGTTTTGTTCCTTCTTCTTTCCTCTTCCATTAATTGTGATCCTTTTAAGGAGCTAGACCCTTAATTTGGTAACCACCGGACTAAACTGTATATGGAGTAATCAAAACAAGCTCTACTTTGAGCAGCTGCAGTAGAATGATTACACATTGACAAATCGGTCTTAGGGTCCATTTTCTGCAGAGCAAGTACATGTAAATATACATTTTGCTAATAATATTTCTGTACTTTTATGTGATCAGCAATTAAATACAGTACATATTTGCTACATACTGTACATACTTGTAGACTGTTGTAGTGGTACTTTTACTTAAGCATCTGAATACATACTGAGTCCTAATTTATTGAGAAAAATAAAGCAGTTGGACTGAATGGTACATTTTCTGAATATGTTAAAAATGTAGTACTTAGCATAATGCTCCTAGATATGAACTTAAAGTTTATTTGTGGAACTGAGGTCATCCAGAGTGGCATATACAGTATGTTAGTTTCATCAGTTTATTACATTTTAAGGCCCATAGCTGTATTTGCATCATTTGGAACCAAATTAAAATGAACATTTTAGCTTTATGGTACACAAATCAATTTAATATCACTTTAAACAACAAGATATGGTGACCTTCTATGAAAGGCATTCCTCTGAATCAGACTTCTCATGTTCAATTTTCAAAAGGTAAAAAAAAAAACATATCCCAGTATAGCTGTGGGATGTGTAATGTAAACAAGCCAAGTAGCATTTGAATGAAGGACATTCACTTGTAATGGAGTATTTTTGAAGTATATTGGTACTTCAGCAAAACTCTCAATATTTTTCCACCACTAGAAACAGAATTATCTGAAACAACTTATGGGCTCCTGCTGATCTGAATTCAGGCTCATCAGACCTCATGCTGAAAAGCTATAAATAATTAGTTCTGCCTATAGAACACAGCCTTTTAAAAGCCATACACCAGAGCACTGTGATATAATGGACCAAATGTTTTAAGATCCTGTCTTCATGCGCTTGCAGAGCCCATGCTATATCTGTAAGAGGACAGATGGCCATCTCTGTTGGTGTGATTCTCCACAGCTTCTCCGAGCTAATACACCCGGCATATGGACATGCATCACAGGGTGGGGACTGGCGTTGGGTCATCAGGAGAGCATGCTGACAGGATAGGGGACGTGATATGTGGTGCAGTTTCTAAAATGCAATTTTCAGTCACCGGAAAAGCTCAAAAGCCAAAGCCCTTACCAGGCACATTTTACTTCCACAAATGTTCTTGCGTCTCAGGAAAATGAACCCGAAGGTGCTCCCTGGCAGGGTGCATCCAGCACCTTAGATTAGGTAATGTCTTTTATGGGGTAGCTCGCTGGTGATGTTGACAGTCTGCCATGGGGCATTTGAATGAGGGCAGAGGAGCAGTTTATCCTCATTTAGGACAACCTTGGCTGACAAAGGTATCAAGATATTCCCCCTAGAGAAAGTAAATGAGCTCTCCTCTCACTGCCCCCCACCCACCCACCTCCACACTGCTGGATCTATTTCAGGTTCAGGGATTACCGACCGCCTAGAGGAATATCACAAGGAATCAAAAGCAGTTCTTGACTAAATTCAGTTACATAACTGACGTGTTAACGTTATCCACTTCAACTTAGATACACTCAGTCTGAATAGGCAGACACCTCAGTGTAAGAACTTCCTGCTTGTCTTGAGGTATTTGCTCACATCAGAGCAGGACTGAGTTGACAGTGAATGGGTGAGCAAAGAAATGGCAGCAGCAGACGCTGTACCGCCATCATGTGGTGAAAGGTGGGTCCGTCGAGTTGAAAGGACCACATTTTAAATACAAATAACGGTTTCATACTGCACAAAATGTGAAAGACGATAATCAAACTTTTTTTACCAAGTGATATGTAAAATAAATTAATTGGTTTACATTTCATTTTACATCATCACATTCCCCAAAAATAAAATGAATCATTAAACATGGACCATGGACCTGGAACTGGATCAACAGCAGAAAATGTACAAAATGATTTAGTGATTAAGAAATAATCTAAGGTCAGAGGTCTGGAACAACAGCAGTGACGATTTCCCAGCCAATTTTTGCTACACATTATTAAAAAAAAAAAAAATCTCACAGTGAGGTTAGACGACATCACACCATAGAGGGTACATTTTTAGAGACATTAACTCTATACTTAAGCAGTGACTCAAAGGAAACTGATCCCAATTTTAGGATTTATTATTTGGAAAATTAAGTCTCAAAAATTCAAGATACATCTGAATAACAAGTGCACACAAATTCAATGCGAGGTGTAATATATGGCATAATGTTTAAGATCTGTCCAGATGTTTGTCTACACCAGCGAGAACTCCAAACCAGCAGCAGGAGAAATCCATATCAGCAAAGTTGACAGTTTCAAGTAAGACATGTAGTTACAGTCTGTTAGTCCTTAAAAAACAGAATTAAAGAGCAGTGATTTATCAACAAGAATGGTCAAACTTTAAAAATTACATCACCAGAACGACAACATATCTTTAGCCTAATGTGCTTAACTTAAATAGATTCTGAAATTATACAACAAGCTTTTACAAAGCATTTAACACTGATGAACAAAGAGCGCTGATGGCAACAGAACAATTATGCAAACAAATCATTCCACAAAAGAACAATCGCTTTCAAAATATTAACACTTAAAAGGATATGTAAAGTAATAATTGCAACCAAGAGCACATTTTCACAATTAACACTATACAAACAAAACTGGGTTTGCATTGAGCAGTTTCGACCAAATTCACCCAATTATTTTCAACTGGGGAGCACATAATGTTTTAGATTTTTGATTTCTTCCAGTTACACAGGAGGTAATGACAAGTACCTGAATCCACTTTACCTACTAGAATCTATCCTAAGCAACATCACTGTGCGACACAAAAGAACATATTAAATACAAGAAGGGTGGAACTTTGTGGCCTTCAGACCTCAACTAAGCAGGTAAACTTCAAAACTAGAGGGGCAGCTATATGGCAAACCCATCGACAACGGCTTCGTGAACTACAGTATTTATAGTCTATGTACAACATCAAGGCTGCAGTCCGCTGGCATCCCAATATATCCAACTGTTAAAAGTTAGTTGGTTCAGTTAAAGTTCATAAATATTTGAACCCAATGACTAGCAACTACCTAAAATCTAGGACATCCTACACCTGTTAATCCCAGCATTGGTGGCATGTGACAAAAACACACACATACATTTCAATAAGTACTTTACACCATGTCCCCTCACTCAGCTGACCTTCTTACCACATTGGACATGTTTGGGTTTACAGTCCTACACATCACTGATTGCACTGACCAGAGGAATATACAGTATCTGTCATTAAGTGGTGGCACTACATTAAAGACAAGAGGAAAATTTCAAGGTGCATACAAATTACCTGCTGGACACCACACAGTCATTTGGTTGTTGCGTGGAATGAAATCAACAAAGACACTGTTTGCCTGTGCAGGTGTAGGACACATGCAGAGAAGCCTCATTGCTTGGGACATAGTTGGAAACTAGCAGGTCACAACCAGGAGATCTGGTACTCACATCAAGGTTGTGTCTAACAAGTCGTGCTTCTTGCCATTACAAGTCATCCTTTCATACATAAGTACCCAGATCTTCCAGCTGGAGCCCTGACAAAAATTCTAGTTGTTTTTGTTTCTCATTCTCTGGTGAAAGTGTGTGTTTCTCAGTGTGTTGTTTTTGTTTTTCCAGGTGCTGCATGCGCTTGTCCATTCTGTGTTGTTGTGGTTGGTGTGGCTCTGTATTATATGCCTGAGTGTCTGCCTCTAGATGTGCATTGTTCTATGTGTACCAGTGTGTGTGAAACTGCATCAACGGCACTGCACTGTGTACATGGAACAAACTATAGGAAAGCACTTGGGTTTGCTCGTGGATCCTTCTGGTTTCTGTAGCGCACGGCGAGCCACACTCCAAGGATCTGTGAGGGAGGGATTACACATGACATGGACATTAATCAAAATTTCCTTTGAATAATTTTTCACTTTCGTCCTTCCACCAAAACGCTTTTCCAAAGGCCCACTGACGCTTCTGTGCTAAGAGTCACACTACAGCTAACAGTGTCTATGTGCACGGGCTCTCAGGTTACAGTACTAGCTACAGTGTAGCTGAGGGGCACTTCCTCAGCTCAAGTACATGTCTGGACTACGGCGTCAATAAGATACTTATAACAGACATACCCAAATGTATCTAGTGTTATCAATGGGTGGAATTTGAAGAGTATAAATCAGCAGTTATGGCGAGTACATATTGGGGACGGCTGTGGGTCAGGAGGTAGAGTGGGTCGTCTCCTAACCAGAAAATTAATGGTTTGTTCAGTCCACATGTCAAAGTGTCCTTTAGCAAGACACTGAACCCCCAGTTGCTCCTGGTGACAACACCGGTGTGTGAATGTGTGAGTGCTGGGGAGTGTAAATGGGTGAATGGCCAAGTAGTGTGAAAGCGCTTTGAACTCCTCCCCTCTGGATGGCGCTACAGGTCACTGTACGCCAAGACAACCAGGCACAGGGACAGTTTCCTCCCCCAGGCCGTCACTCTGATGAACACTTAACCAACAACAGTATGACTGCACAATAACACTCAGTGTAAATGTACCTTGTACATACAGATCCGCAAAATGCATCTAGACCAGGGGTGGGCTATTCCAGTCCTCGAGGGCCGCTGTCCTGCTTGTTTTCCAACTATCCCTGCCTGACCTGCTGCTGATTACCTGGCTCAGGTGTGATCAGTCAGAAGCTGGAAGATACCAATTCACTTTATCTTTCCTCACTCCACTTTCATCTAAGATGGTATCTTCCACCTGATCTAGACTGTGTGTATATATACACACACAGGTCTCTATTTATAAGTACTTTATTTTTTATCTTTTTCCTAATGCACATTCCTTTTGCTTGTTTGCACATTACTTTCTTTCCTTTCTGTTCTCTCAGCCTTATATTGTTTACTTGCCCCTTGCTGCCTTACATAAGGATATGTAAATAGATATTGAGAGCCACTGTACCAGAGTCAATTTCCTCATGTGTCCAACACACCTGGCCAATAAAGCTGATTCTGATTCTGAAAAGTCACAGTTTGTGTCTGCAAACCCCCTAGGCATGTGAGTCCAGCCTAAACATGTGGTGTGTATTACACTGCCCGAATGCTGAACTGTACCCTCACAGTTGGGTTCTGCCTATTTCAAAACATTTGTAATGACAGACGTAAACTGATTCAGTCCTAGAAGATAAGACTCAGTTGTCACATGGACATTTTGTTCCTCAACCCTAAAACCCACCAACGGTGTGTTTCTTGGTTGACATGCAGAGATTTAAGAGAAAACCCTGAATTGAAATAGATTTTTTCCCATGAAGTGTACTGTGTGCACACAAATTTACCACGTTGCTCTTCTCCGTCACAGACTCGAGGCTTTATTATATTACTGCTTAATGAAATGAACTGATGAGCAGATGTAGGTTTTGAGACCAGATACTCACCTCTGTAAAACTGAAGAAGAGTCCGACACCCCCGAGAATCTTCAGAGCCTCTGTTGCATGATGCAGCATCATCTCGCCGCAGGTGTAACAGGCACTCTGCTTTTTGCATGACTGGTGTGAAACACATAAAAGAAGAGACCTTTAGTCTTAAACAGTACGAGTCAACTATTTGTGAACTATACCAATATTAGCTAACAAAAGCTCTTCTAAGAACTTCAGACTGTGACACTGACTTTTGTGCAGTGGGACATAATGTGTAACTGGAAATACACTGTGAAGCTGCACTGTTCATCTATGGTGCCAGGGAACAGTTTAGAAAACATGCAGTGGGTTTTCCACATTATGTTTCAGACTCATTTTAAAATGGATTTAATTCTTTTTCTCTCCTCATTAGTCTACACACACTACTCCACAATGATAAAGTGAAAACAGGTTTGTGAAGTTTTTATTTTATTTTATAAAACTTATTAAAAATAAAAGACTGAATATCCCATGTATTCAGACCCTTTCTTAAGCCACTTGCAATTGAGCTCTGGTGCATCCTACTCCTGTCAATGCTTGCTGAGATGCTTTTACAGCTTGAGCCCACCTGTGCCTAATTTAATTTACTGAACATAATCAGAGAAGTCACAGGTCATTGAATGTGAACTGTGTCATGTCAGAGTGAAAACAAAGCCATGAGGTTAAGAGAACTGTCCCCAGACCTGTGAGACAGATCTGGGGAAGGATAAAAGGACATTTCAGCAACACTGAAAGTGTCCAGGAGCATGGGAGCCTCCATCATTCTTAAATGGAAGAGATCTGGAACCAACAACAGTCTTCAGAGATCTGGCTGCCCAGCCAAACCTGAGTACCGGTAATCAGGGACAAAGGTCCTCAGTCAGACCAGTAACCAAGAACCCAAAGGCCACTATGGATGAAATCCAGAGTTCCTTTCTGGAGATGGCAGAACCTTACAGAAGGACAACCATCAGTGCAGCACTCCACCAATCAGGCCTCTGTGGTAGACAGGCCAGACAAAGCCATTTCTCACTAAAGGGCACATGACAGCCTGCTGGGAGTTTGTCGAAGGGCACCTGAAGGACTCTGACCATGAGAAGCAAAATCCTCTGGTCTGATGAAACAACTGACTATTTGGCCACATTTTCCAACAGTATGTGTGGAGACAACCAGCCACTGAGCATCACCTCATTAATACCATCCCTACAGTCAAACACGGTGGTGGCAGCATCACACTGTGGGGATGTCGTTCTGAATCTGGAACTGGGTGACTAGTCAGGACAGAGGGAGGATGGATGCAAAGAAATAGAGAGAAATTCTGAATGAAAACCTCCAGAGTGCTCAGGATCTCAGGCTGGGGTGAAGGTTTACACTTCAACAAGACAACAACCCAAAGCATAAAGCCAAGAAAACACAGGCGTGGCTTCAGGAAAACTCGGTGAAAGACCCGGAGTGGCCCAGCCAGAGTCTGGACCTGAGCCCAATAGAGTATCTCTGGAGAGACCTGAAAATGGCTGTGCACCAACACTCCCCATCCAACCTGGTTGACCTGTTATGATTCTGCCTAGAAGAAAAGAAAAAGGTGCCAAGCTTGTAGCTTCATTCTCAAGAAGACCCGAGGCTGTTACTGATGTTGATGCTTTAACCAAGTACTAAGAGAAGGGTCTGAATACTTATGTAAATGGGATATCTATATATTGTCATTGTGGAGTATTGTGTGTAGATTGATGAGGGGAAAAAAAAGAACAGAATCAATTTTAAGATGAGTCTGAAATATAACAAAATGTGGAAAACTTGAAAGGGTCTGAAAACTTTCCGTAACCACTTTATACAATCTTAATTAAGAAAAAATACATTTTAACTCTGCAGCAATTTAAATATGCACCGGTGCAGTTCATGCAGGTTTTCCATGAAGGAGGACAATGTTTTTCTTTCCTTGTAGATGCATCAATGAAAAAAAATCTGACACTTAAGACTTACAGCAGGGCAGTTTTGCAAATCCTGATCAAACTGTGTCTGGCTATTGCTGCTGTTGAACAGCCCGCAGCAGTCCAGCTGGTTCTCTAGGTCTGCCTTGGTTTTATTGTTAATGATTCCCCAAGTGGAATTTAGAAGTGCCACCTGAAAAAGCAAATAATACAGAGAAAAACCAGCAGTGGCTAATGTCTTATAACCAATCATACAAATGAATACAATTTATTTATACAGAAATAAATATATTTTGCTAAGTGTTGCTCACCTGCTGACCACGGTTCATTGCCAGGCAGGAACAGGAAACTCCAAACTGGAAGAGGAAAACGATGAAAAGAATGACCATGTACTGGGAGCAAGAGGTCAAAGAAACAACCATACAACACAGGAAAATGGAAAAACTGCAACACATTCATAACATACCCCCTTTGCAAATCACTGTATTCATGTCCAGTGACACAAATATCATATGTGAACCTGCAAAACACTGCTTAGGACTTAGTCATTGCAGAGAAAGGATACAAAGAAAAGCATGACTTGATGGTGCTGTATTGCTCCGATGAGTCCCACAATAGCGATGAGCAGCAGAAAGACACCCACAGCAATGACCCCTCCAATAATGTGGATGCTTGACACCAGGCCAAAGCCCTTCCCCCATGCTGCTACTCCAATCAGCAGTAGCCCAACCAGCTGTAGGGGGCAGAGGGAAAGAAGTTAAGCAGAGTCAGCTGAGGCAGTGAGCATTTGATGGAACGGAGCTTAACACCACCACCACTTATCCTGTAAACGCTGCTAAGGACTTTAGGAGCTCTGTGATTATTCAAGTCCAATAATACAGGTGAAGCACAGAAATAGCCACTGAGAAAGAAACAAGCACTCAGAGTTCACCATTTTTAATGTGACCCAGTCATAAGACTAGTCCTCATTTTTACTGATTTTAATCAGCAACTAACACAAAATAATAGTTAAGAAATGAAAGAGAAAAGTAGATGACAGATTGCAACGGAGGATTGTTGAAATGGTGGATAAAAAATCCTCAACGTCCAAACAAATCCAAGCTGGTCTGCAGGCACAAGGTGCAACTGTCAGCTCACACTATCTGTCACCATCTGAATGACAAGGGACACTATGGTAGGACACCCAGGGGGACCCCAGTGCTGACACAGGGACATAAAACAGCCAGACTGGAGTTTGCCAAAACTTAGCTGAGGAAGCCACAGTTCTGGGAGAATGTCCTGTGGACAGATGAGACTAAAGTACAGTTTTGAGCACATCATTCTACTGTTTTCAGCAAATGAAATGAGGCCTTCAAAGAAAAGAACACGGTCACTACAGTCAAACACAGTGGAGGTTCACTGATGTGTTGGGGCTGCTTCAGGCACTGGATGTCTTGTCTGTGTGTCTAGCATTATGAAATCTGAAGACTACCATTGAATTCTGGGCACAATGTGGGGCCCTTACAGCAGGCATGACGCAAAGCAGACTTCATAAAGCACCAGAAATAGTTTCAAACAATGAGCTGGAGAGTTCTGAAGTGGCCAGGAACGAGTCCAGATCTAAATCCCATAGAGCAGCTGTGGAGAGATCTCAGAACAGCAGCTGGGAGAAGGAACCCTTCAAATCTGAGAGACCTGGAGCAGTTGGGAAAAGAAGAGTGGTCCAGAATTCCAACAGAGGTGGAAGAAACTCACCGATGGCTATAGGAAGTTAGTGATTTTAGTTATTTTGTCCAAAGGGTGTGCTACCAAATATTAAGTTGAGGGTGTCACTAATTCTGTCGAGTATCAGATTTGGCTTTTTTGCCATTTTTTGTGTTGTTCCAATGCAAACAAAAGAAATATGAGAATACCAAAGAATTTGTGATCACAACAATGTTCTGGGAGAAGTGTTGCATTATCTGAGAGAAATGGAGAGGTGCCAATATTATTGGCCATAACTGTAACTACATGTTCCAGTTCTAGTTTATGACTAGGTGGCTTATGACTCAAGTGTTTATTTCAGCACTGAGTCAACTTGGACTGTAAACTCTCTGGCTTATGTGATAACAGCAGGCAATCTATGCAACGACAGCTTTGCTCTCTTTTCTTCACAAAGTGCATACATTGCTGACGTGCCAGGAAGACAGCAGGTAATAGTAAGTAATTAAAAAGTAATACTTAAGGAGACTTTCTGTGGGGTTTGTAAATTTTTGAAAGCCTTTGTAATATTGCACAAGATGATTTATCTGTTTCACAGTGACATCACCCAAAGTATGAAAGAACAGTGGAGACCATAAGGCCTATTATTGTTTTCCAAGTGAGTTGTGTTTGTTCACATTTATAATCACATTTTTATCACTACTTCCCTGCTGTATAACAAATATTTCTAATATCATTTATTAATCACAAAACAGATGAGACCTGGGTTAGCAGCAGAAAATTAAATGACAAGTGGACAGAAGGAATAACCAATTAAAAACGACCCATTTCTTTAAAGCCTACAAGGGTACTTGAGATTCTCCAGTTGGTCATGCAGGGCTCCAGACTGCAAGTGATCAGTCGAATTTTGAAACCAAATTTATTTAAGGTGCAACAAAATTGTTTTCAAAGGTTGCATTGGGTGAGACTGCAAAATAAACAGATTATGCATAAATGATTTCTCTAAATTCAGAAATGGTTGACAGACGTCTCAATCTCTGCAATACTCTCATCTGCAGGTCTGTCACCCGCACATCACACGAGACAGAAACTTCTAATCTATCAAATGTGTTGATCCACAATTCATACAACTCAAACAAACGTTGTCATCCCTGGACCCCATTTTATGCTTCAGGTCCATTTTTTCCTTTGGCACATTTGAAGTCTAATCGCCACAGACAGCTGCTTAAATCAGGTAGATCACCTGTTAGCCTGTTTATGTGTTGGAAACTTTTTAGTTCAATTTCTTCTGACAGATCAGGCTCCTGATTTCACTGTGAGCTTTCTGGTTATGATTATTATCATGTTAACTGCTACAGGCTTAGGTGACAAAAGTATAGTACTAAAGCATAAAAAGAGGTGGAAACCAGTTCCAGAAGTGATTTTCACATTTGTGTTCCATAAGTTTCCCTTTCTCTGAATGTTATTATAAATACAGGCTATGCACATTGGATGGTAAAGTTATTCAAATAAGTTTAGAAAAAATAGTCTTTTAAATTACATTACAAAACAGAGCTAGTGCCACCAAATCTGGCACTGGAGGGGGAAGTAGACTGCCAGGTCACTGCTGACATGGTGAGGGAACATGAGAGCAATTGTGCAACACTGAGAGGAGTGCTACCACTGAGGGGACCTTGGACACACTGCACGCCATTTCTCAGCGCCAGCACCCTTGAATAACTCATCCACCCTTTACCTGTCACAGCTTTAGGTCAGTCTTCCGGGCTGGACACATGGATTATACCTGGACTGTGAAGTGAATTGCACACCTTGGTGGACATGGGGTCCACCATCTCCCTGGTATGCCAGGGGATGAAAGAGCCAAGACTCCAGATGTGGAGGACCACCAAGCACCACATCACCACAGTTGGTGGCAAAAGTGTGAAAATGTGGGGGGAGAGGATGCTCAAAGTGACTGTTGCTGGCTCCACACTGGCTCTTGGCTTCACCTGAGGGGGGAGCATTGGACAATGGGAGCCAGCCACGAGCTTCAGAACCCTCTCTACCTGCTGCCCAGGCGCCCCCAAAGCAGCCTCAGTGCCAGTGCAGGCACTCTGGTATGATTGTGGTTACTGAGGACAGTTAACCAGCTAAGTGGGGGCTGTGTAGCATCTAGGGGCACAGAGACACCTGGTGGGATCCCCCAGAATGCCCCTCTGGGCAGGCTGTATATAGTTATGGGTTGGCAGGATTGTTAGTGTTCGATGTGTGCTCTGTTGTGCATAAAGTGAGAGAGCCAATCTCTGGTCTTCGACCTTTCTTTACCCAGCTGTCCTGTGCTGTGTGTAAATAAAGTTCAAACAGGCAGCATCTGTCTCCTTCCTCAAGCTAGCCTACGTTACAGTATAATTAACATTACTGCTACATAAATGTTCTAAGACCTTTGCAAATAAAATTAAAGGCCTCATTACCTTTACGGGGGTTCTTATTTTTATTATCTTTGTTGAAACCTTCAGTTTACACCGAGTTTATTTTAGCTGAGTTGGAAAAAAACGTGTTAACTATCACATCTCCTATGGCTGGCACAGTAACAGACACAAACACTTGAGCTAATTAAATCTTGTTGTGACAAACCAGGATGACTGACAGAGGATGTGGTAGATAACACGTTGCAGCATGTCAGTTTCACAGTTCAGGCCAGCTGGCCTCCCGGATAACGGTAACGTCAGCGTCCTTACAGATAATGGCGATATTTAACAGGCTAGCTAGAAAGCTAAGAGTACTACTTTCTATGGGCTATTACAGTGTAGCCATCTTACATATATTACTAAACGTCACTTTTAAGTGTGTAATTACTAAAGTTGAATGCTTACCAATAATCGTCTTCAAACTGAAAATGGAAGCATGAGGCAAAAAGCGAAATCGCCAGTATTTTCAGTGCTGTAGCTAAACGGGCAGCTAATATTAAGCTAATGTTAGCTGTTAACGCTAGTTCATTCAGACGCTAGTTGGTCAAAGCTAATGTAGCTAACGTTACTAGCTAGCTAGAATTTACCATCGTGATTCATTTTGTACACTCACCATGTAAACCACATTCAGGGAACACAGCGCATTTTTGGAACAGGTGAAACCGCCACAGACCATATTCAAAAAAACTATATCGGCTGACTCAGGCTAACAAATAACGGTAAGACTTTTATAAAAACCAGTGTCGTCTAAAGTGCGCTAGTGTCTAGCACAAATGTTTTTGGTCAGTGGAGAGGGAGTATCTGATGACGTCTATTAATGTCGACGACAGACATAATCGACGTCATGTAAAGTTAAATAAATGAATAAATCAGAATCAGCTTTATTGGCCAGGTGTGTCGGACACACGAGGAATTTGACTCTGGTACATCGGCTCTCAATATGTATGTACATATCCCCATGCAAGGGGCAAGTAAACAGTAAACCAGCATAAGGCTGTGTAATACAACAAAAATAATATGCAGTATTAACAAGCAACAACTAGGGCAAACGATGCAAAATAAGCAGTATAAACAGGCAGTAAACAATGCAGACAGACAAAGGAATGCTCACTGAGATGAGATAAATAGGAATAAAAACAGAGTACTTAAAACTAGAGACCTGTATGAATCTGTATAATCTATACGAGGTATATTTACAGGTATTGCACTGAGGGTTATTGTCCAGTCATACTGTCGTTGGTTAAGTGTTCATCAAGTGACGGCCTGGGGGAAGAAACTGTCCCTGTGCCTGGTTGTCTTTGTGCACAGTGACCTGTAACGCCGTCCAGAGGGGAGGAGTTCAAACAGATTGTGTCCAGGGTGTGAGGGGTCTGCAGTGATCCTCTCCACCTCTCCTCTCCGCAAAGTCTCTTACGTGTTATGGGTGGCCTACACTGGTGCTGAGTCTGCTCTGGTGTCTACTGGGCGGCTGGTGGAGAGGGTTTTGGAGCTTGTGGCTGGCTCCCGCTGTCCAATGTTCCCCCCTCAGGAGAAGCCAAGGGCTGGTATGGTGGTCCCCATGAAGCACCGCTGAGTTCCATTTACTCGGTCTCACCCTGTACACCGCATCTGACAGTCTTTTCAGTACACTACAGGGTCTGCTCCACTGGCCCACTGACTATGGGGGCAAGTCCTTCTTCTGTCAAGGATACACCCACACCAGCACGCCAGGGACAGTCTGGCCCCGTGAAGCACCACCAGTTCAGCTTACTCAGTCTCACCCTGTACATCATATCTGACAGTCCTCTCTTCCCACATCGTCGCACTCTGATGAAGCGTGTCATTGAGAGGGTGCCCACCTGATGAGCCTGTAGGCTGCCTTGCTCTCTTACACACATAAAACTTCATGTTGAAAGCTTTCTTTTATTTAGAGACATGGACATTTCTGTCAAATAGTGCACCACTGCTCCCAGAAAATTGTTGCAATCACTAATTCTCTGGTATTCTCATGTTTATTTCTTTTATTTGAATTGGAACAACACAAACAAGCAGAGGAAAAAGCCAAATCTGATCCATTCCACACAGAACTCCAAAAATGGACTGGACAGAATTATTGACACTCTCAATTTAATATTTGGTAGCACACCCTCTGAACAAAATAACTGAAATCAGTCCCTTCCTGTAACCATCAGTGAGTTTCTTCCACCTCTCTACTGGAAATTTGGACCACTCTTCTTTTGCCAACTGCTCCAGGCCTCTCAGATTTTAAGGGATCCTTCAAATCCAATATATTTGGCCATGACTATATTTATGGTAAGACTGTTAAAGGGGTCACAATTCATATATGTAGCGGTTCCTCATACTTAGAAACTATTTGTAAGACCAGTGGAACTGGATAAATAATGGCAGAGGTGGAAGAAGTAGTCATATACTTGGAAAAGTACCAACAAAACAATGTAAAAATACTCTTACTGTAACAACTAAAAGTCCTGTATTCAAACATTTACTTAACTAAAACTACAGGTGCATTGTAAGCAAAATGCAGTTAAAGTATCCAAAATAAAAATACTAGTTCCACAGGAAATTGGCCCCTGTGATTCATATCGTACATTACCATGTTACATGCAAGCAGATAGTTTAGTCCTGGTTCCCAAACAGTCAGGCCCCTCCGAACAGTCATAAGATAACATTAGAGGTTGTGAGTGCTTGTTTTTAAATGTGCTTTATAAAAAAAATAGACTTGAAATAGGGTTGACAAAAGGCCTGATGCTCGCTGCAGAGTCGCATGATGGTCCAAAACATCACTTAACATGAAGACTGGGCTTGTATAGGAATGCTTACCAGACTTTCTGTCTGACACAGTGCATACTAACTCATATAGAATGACCTATCAGCACATTTCACTGCAAAAAATAGAGTGTCTCTAATTTAGAGCCTTCATGAGACAAAAACACATCAACTGTGAATACAGACATAGATTTTTTTGTTTTTGTATAGTTCTTTCTTTCCCAGTAGCTGTGAGGCAGCCACAGATCACCACAGCAGTCAGAGCTGCTGAAGAATATGGTTTAAAATAAGGAAGTGAATTCAGTTCAGCTCAAACCTACAGAGGAAACTGAGACACACATTGTTGTGAGCTGAGTTCTGTGGTCTAGAGATACTGAGAGAGAGAGAGAGAACGAGAGAGACACCCTGATCTGTAGCCGCTTCTTTTTCTGCTGCCTCTGTGTCTTAAGTTGATGTTCAGCTTGTGTGAACAAACAGCCAGGATTTCAAATGGGCTGAAACGAGCATTTTACCTTAGTTAACAAGAGATCCATGTGTCAGGATGAACAACAACAGTAAATCGGTGAACTCTTCTGCAATAAAAGCAGAGATCAAGAGGCACGAATCTCTCCACAGTGCAATCAGCCGACTTTTGAAGCACTTTGAAAGAGTGGAGGATCCAAAGCTGCGCTCTGGTCTTAAAGTTTACCTTCACAGTATTCAAGGTAAGCTCATTTTTCTTAAGCTTTGTAGCTATTTGTGATTGACTTTTTGCTTGCTGTATTTAGGGAAGAAAGCAACATTAATATTCCTGAATAGAATACTTAGCAGAATTTGGTAACTTTCAGCATGCTCATGTTAATATATTTCTTGACTTGATAAACAGGAGAACTCCTCAGCAAACTCTAACTGCAGATTTAGTTTCACAGTGAGTTTAATTCACTCTTTTCATCAATATGAAGCCTGGGGTGTGTGAGTGATATCTTTCTCTGTGCTTCCTGTTTCCGTCGGTGTGACTTTTCGGAGAAGAGTTCCTCTGTTGTTGTTCATTTTGACTCTCATTTCACTCTAATGGTACAAATTCACCTCCTGGTAGGTGACATGTAGTGGCATTTGCGTATCAGTCAGCCCCTGGACACAGGCGACCAATGGCAACATCCCTCAGCAGCCATTGCCATGGCAGCAGGATGAAACCTGCTGTGTACGGCCTATACTTCCTGTCTGCCAATGTGCAACTGCCCTCAAAGCCACTTCCTTTCAGACAAACAGGGCCTTTACATGCGAAACTGATCAGTTTTACATCATTTCCTCATATTGCTACTTCCCACAGTTTCGTGTTAAAATGACACAAGGTGTTACTGTTAACTACGCAGTTTTTTCCTCTTATCTGCAACCTTGTTATGCCAAAGCAGCATAGATCAGGTTCAGCCGGGAAATAAGTATCTAGTTCCTTTACTTAAATACATGTATAAATATTTCATTACAATTAAAATCCCTACATTCAAAATCCTACCTGTAAAAAAAAACCAGCAAAGTTTAGTTAAAGTATCAAAAGTAAAAGTATTTGTTATGCACAGTGGCCCCTCTCAGTCTGTTAAATTATAGAACCTGTGAAATAATAATTTGTGGAAAGTATATATGAAAGACAAGCCCCAATTATGAAGACAAATGTGGGTATCACAACAGAGTTTTTTCATCTTTCCTCTCCCATTAATCATTGAACAACTCCACATCCGGTGGCCCGTTGCAGGGGCCTGACCCCTAGCTTGGGACTCACTGGACCAAATTAGCTAAGTGAGAGAAACACTGTACATTCTACTCCACTGACAGCTAGCTGTTATACAGCTATTGCAGGTTAAGATGTTACATACCAAACATATGTTATATAATATGTCACACTGTTAGAGATTAAACTACCTGACAATGTAAAAAGTAGGAATGCGTTGATTTGAACATTCAAAAAATATATAAAAATACAAAATTAAACAGTGTCAGTGGCTGGCTGTGATGGAATGAATGGACCTTAAAAAGAAATAAAACAAAAACTGTATTTAATGTGGGTCGCTCACACGTGACCCCCTTAATAAAGCCAATGCCAAGGCTGATACCTGGGCAACAGAGCTCCATCTCCCTTAGCTAACACAGTACTCAAAATGCTGCATATGAAATAGCAGTCCTACAATAATAATGTATAAAGAAACACTTCACACTTGAATTTGCGGACATTGTGTAAAATGTGAATAAAAACAGAATACATTGACTTGCAAATCCTTTTGAACCATATTTAATTGAATGCACAACAAAGACAAGATATTTAACGTTCAAACTGATAAACTTTATTGTTTTTTTGCAAATATTCGCTCATTTTGAATTTGATGCCTGCAATGTTTTACACAATGCCCCAACCTCATTGGAATTGGGGTTTGTACTTTTGATATTTTAAGTATGTTTTCCTGCTAATGCTTTTGTACTTCCAATTAAATAAACTTATAAATACAGGTTTTGTTAGTTGTGAAATATTTATATTATGTAGTATTGCTACTTAAGTACAAAATCTTAATGCGTCATCCACCACTGCAAAAATCCCAGCGTGACTCAGACCAGAGTAGGTCTGATCAGGCACAAAACTGAAAGGACCTATATGGATACACAGGGCCATTAATGCACCACATTCGCTAAGTTGATCAGAAAGTATGATTTGTTTAAAGTACCTAGTAACTTTATCCATCCATCCATCCATTTTCTATACCGCTTAGTCCCAAGCGGGCTCACGGGGGGCTGGAGCCAATCCCAGCTGGCTGTGGGCGAGAGGCGGGATACACCCTGGACAGGTCGCCAGTCCATTGCAGGGCTAACATGCAGACTAACAACCACTCATACACACAATCACTCCTACGGGCAATTTAGAGACGCCAGTCAACCAATGCTGCATGTCTTTGGACAGTGGGAGGAAGCCGGAGCACCTGGAGAGAACCCACGCAAGCACGGGGAGAACATGCAAACTCCACACTGAAAGGCCCCGGGTTGGCTGGGGCTCGAACCCGGAACCGTTTTGCTGCGAACCACTGCGCCACCATGCTGCCCGTCCTAGTAACTTTAAATGTTAAATAAATATAATGGAGTGTAGTGGAGCAGAATTATAAAGTAGACAAGATATATTCATGTAACATACAGTACAGTGGACATACCCCGTACATGAAAAAATGTTTTTAGTAACTTGATGTCATCAGTTTATACATTAGACTCGTTCCAAAACTCGGCCGGCTCCCTGGTGGATGTGGTGAGCCTTCAGGTCTATTTAGGATCTGGCAGAGCTCGATGCACTCGGGGAGGTAACCCTCCCATGTGTAAAAACATTCAGTTGAATTTTCTGTGTAATTCTGCCACTGGTGTGTCTGCGCTGTAGTGAGGATCAAAGCCAGCGTGCCCTCCGTGGGGCCTGACTCTCTGGGTATGAAGTTCAGTGGTGCTAAAAAGAAAGCCACCTCTTTTGGACCTGAAGTAAAGAGTGAGTGGGATGTGGACGACTGACTGCATGCCAAAGGCTGGGAGAGTTTAAAAAAAGCAAGCGATGGACAGGGATAGGAGGGTGAGGTGCTACAGGGAGCCAAATGAAGACATTTAAATGTGAATCTGCCTGGTATATTGTGCACTGCAGCACAGCAGCAGAGGGAGCAACTGAGAAGACAGCTCACAGCGAGGGAGAAATGAAAAATCATCCAGCATGACCACTGCCCTTGGCCACTGTCCATCTGACAGCGCCTGCCCATGGGTGCCAGTGTGTGAGCGTGTGTGCTGGGGGAGGCTTTGTCTGTGTGCATGCATGTGAGAAAGGGGAGTATATTTCTTAAAAGTGTCTTCCTGCAGACAACCAGATTTTCTGTTATTTCACAATAATTAGATTCACCGTGCACCTCAGACAACTGCAGCAACCTTACATGCACTTGAACTCACACATGCATGTCGTGTCCTCACACTTGTTAAAAATGGATTTTACACAGGTGTAACATCACTGCGCTGAATGCGTGTTTGGGTTGTTAAGAAGCAGCTATCTGTGGATTTATTGTTGTGTCGGAGGCTGCGGCCATCATTCCTCTCAGGGTGTGCATTTTCCCCTTGAGTCAAAGGCAGTTATCACTGGTCTTTTGTATTCAGTGTGAGTAGTTATTGCCCTCTCACTGACTGTGGGAGGGAGGGGGAAGCGGGCTGAGCAGGTGGACAGTCAGATTATGCATTATGGGATGATGGTGGGAGGCTCAGATTGCAGCACTGTGGGGAGAGGCATCTTCTGATTTTACATCAAGGAGTTCCGTTTCTTCTATCAGAGAGTAATTAACATAAAAGAAAAATAAACCTGGCAGTAATTTAGGTGATGCATGTGTAGCCATGTTGTCTACAGTGTTTCTGTTATTGCACACATAATTGGAGCGGTTCCTTTGTACTTTTACCTATATTCTAATTATAAAATAACTAATACATCAATCACTGATCAATCATTTAATTTAATCCTCAACCAAACATTTTAGGGTTTCATCTACTAAAATGTGAGAATTTGCAGCTTTTTCTTATCTTATATACTGTAAGTTGAATTTTATGGCCAGACTAAATATGACATTAGATAACACTACCTGGGGCTCTCGAACACTGCGAAGGATACTTTGTTATATTTTTTGATGTTTTGTTGACCAATCAGTCAATTGATTGATTACTTGAGAAAATAATATGTACAGTAGATTACACATATCAATGTGTTTATTTATTTACTGGTCTTCTGTGGTCCAGCTATTGATGTCCACTGTGCTGTCATCCTCCTGTCCCATTGCTGGGTTCACACTGTGAGCCCACAGCTTCCCCACATTTGCTGCTGAACACATGGCATAGTAGGCAATACACTACAGATCAATACACTCACAGGAAATCTCTTTCACTCACATGTGGGACGCCCACACACAGTCAAACACACACACAGGAACACCATTTTGATACAGAGATCCTGGGAGCGATTGTGATACAGAATGTAGCGAAGCAGGAGGAGGAGGAGGAAGGACGGGGAGGAGATGATTGTGCCACAGAGCCAGGAAGATTGTAACACCTTAGCAACAAACAAGCCAAGCCTCCTACTGAGGAGGAGCCACACAGAGCCACACACACACACACACCTAAAAACACACAAACACAAATAGACAATGGATGACCTTAATGACACTATTCTAGCAGCTGTATAAATGATACAGGCAACAGATGCTTGGAAAACACACCTTGTGTCTTTTCCCTCCATAAACATGCAACCATGTTTTTTTACTTCCTGTTTGTCTTTCCTGACCCACCCTGCCTTTTTTCCTTTTTCTTTTTGCTGCTGTTCTTTTCTCCTACAAGCTCCCCTCATCTGCTAGGTCCAGCTTATATGTGCAGCGCTGCTTTACCACCGGCCGTTACCCACCGCCTTCCCCCTCCTCTCCTCCCCAGCACGCAGTGAGGAAGATGGAGGGGAGGGGATGGGGATGGGAGGGATGAGCAATAAAGAGCAGGGACCCTGCACAGTCTGAGAGGAGCAGTAGGAGAAACAGATAGAGAGGGGAAATAAAGGAAGGAAAGAGAAAGAAGAGAAGCAGGATCCATCTGCATTGTATGGATTTCCTATTGGAGCAAGGAGGGACATGTACAGGGAGGGACACTGAAGGTTCCTGTCAGTGTGCTGGTGAGAACAGAAGAGAGAAAAACAGAGTGTGACAGAGAAGAGCTGTGCAGGGTGTGAGCCTGCGTGTGTGTGTGTGCATTATGTGCTTTGGATTCGTTGAACCTGTGTGACGGCGTCTCTATCGGAAGGTTTCAGAGGCAGCCAGTTGAAGTGACTCGCCTGAGCGCCTCCTCTGTGTTGTCATGCTCAATGCCTGATGTGCTCAGAGGACACAGGCAGCTTGGGAGACAGTGAGAGGGACGTGATGGCCGGACGAACCCTGACTTGGAAATGTATCTCCAGATTTTCGCCGGGGCTTCTGTTGGCTTCTCCTCCTCTTCAGCCCTCATCAGTGTCCTTGCTGAGTGTCTCCTTGAGGCTGCCTGCCTTCCTGCCACCACACTCTCTGAACGGATGCTGCTGTCACCACACATGTAAGGCTTGCAATGAGAGCCCATGATCTCGACTGGACTGCATTCAGCTCTGGGGGTTCTGTGCCATGCTGCTTTAGAGTGACACTAATGCATTTTTAAAGACCTCACCTTTTCACTTTACAGCTGCTGTTCATCACATTCTTGATGACGTATGATGCGGGACAGTTATTCTCAACCGAATGAAGAGAATGGACTAAGGAACAAATAAGATGCAGGCGCTGCACATAAAAATAAGGTCAAGTGAATAATCACCATCAGGAGTGAGGCATCTGACACCATAATGAGGATTTATTTGCCTCAGTAGCTGCACATATGTGCAGTGGAAGGATTTTGTATTGGTTGCTTTCTAGAAACAAAAGAGCTGGTTGGACTGTACAGTGTGCTGGAGGTTGTCAGAAGGAGTGGGGTTTTTCTGTATCCTGGAGACATGAAAATTACAGCTAGCAAAGATATCCATTACTGAATTTAAAATCCGAAACAAAGAAACCGGGATCTGGGGGATGGATGAAACCAACCGCCCCTCTGCTGTTGTATCTCGTGAGGAGAAACTTAATCTCCGTCCTTGTAAGTTTTTTTGTCTCTGTCGTGCTGTCAGATTCTTTCACATCCCAACACACTGGCAAACTGGTTTCATTCATTTACTGTGTGTCTACTGAAGCGTGACCACATGAGTGGAGGCAGCGCCCTGCATCAACGCACCACCTACCTCATCTCCCTCACCCTGGTGAAGGTAGAGGCTGTGGAGGAGAATGGAGGGGAGGCCAAGAACAGCAGCCAGGGGAAAGAGGTAGAGACCAGGCCAGGAGAGGAGGCTGGGGCGAGAGCAGAGGGCGACGGTGTAGCTGCTGCACGAGCTGAGAATGGAGCTGGAGTGGTTTTACGACAACCGCAAAGAGCTGAGGATGCTGCTGCTATAAAAGGGGGGAAGTTAATTGATGAACTTAAAGATGGAGAGAGAGACCTCCTCAGCCCTCAGAAAGACAACCTACCCTCCAAAGGTAGTGACAAGCCACCGGGCACCCTCTCTATCCCCTCACCTGCTGAGAGGACAACTCAGAAGACAAAGTCTGCAGAGATAAACTTGACACGAGTCGAGAAAGTGCTTTCCACCCCAGAGGCAAAGCAATGTGGGTCGCCATCTCTCACCACAACACCACCAATGGAGGTATGTATCCAGCCCAACCGCACCCCAACCAGGACCAGCCTCCCTATCCGTCCAGCAGGACAGCGGCCTGTGAGTCTACTGAAGTCTCACAGCAGTGTTGCCACCCGTGGCCGTGACTCTAGGGAAGGTAGAGAGCGCAGCCCTACCTCAGCCCAGAGCCTTGACCGCAAGGACTGCCGCATGCCAGCACGCTCACCGGGCCCCTGCAGAGCCTCTTGGGCTGAGGCGAGCAGACCTGAAGCATGGAGGGACCTCCGGGATGAAGCTGAAACTGGGATACCTCTAGAGACTGGAGGTGGCATGGCTGCAGTTATGAGAGACATTCCCAGGAAGGACAGACTGAAGGCAGGTTCAACCTCCCTACCTGCACCTGCTACCCAGCCCCCCAAAACAACACGGAAGGGTAAAAGCCGTACACTTGATAACAGCGACTTGAACAGCCTCTCTGAGGACCTGGGGCTGGCCAGGGAAGCCCAGCAGACACAGCAGGGCCAACGAGGGTCAGCTAAAGACAGGAAGATGCTCAAGTTCATCAGTGGCATTTTCACAAAGAGCAGTTCAGGGGGGTCATCCTCCTCAGCACCGCCTGTGTATATACAGAGAGACTCCAGTGAGGAGGAAGGTAGGAGGGCACAAGCACACACAACATCACTGCCACCTCCCTCATGTTGACTACATGCATGACAACAAGCCGTTATCAGGGTCACGTCTGTGGTCAGTCCTGTACTGAAACAATTATTGGAGTGTAGGTACTTCATCTGTGCAAGGGCATATATATGAAATGAGTCAGGGTGGAATTGGGTGGGGTGGGTCTTGATAAAGAACCCCACACAGAATACATTTACAGGCTATAATCCTGTCACATGCAACTAAACCTTTTCCCGAAACCATGTGCGACTGCAAAATGATGACAGATGAAGTTCTTTGATCTGAAAACTGACAATAGAATCGTCTTGGACAGTCTTAATGCAATTCCCCTCGGAGTGCGGGCTGATTTCACACCACTGGAGGGGTAATCTCTGAACTCTCACTCACGCGCGCACACACACACACTTAAGCACTGTTCTCAGCATGGGTTTATATTTCCTAATGAAGCCAAAGGGGAAGTAAAATGGAGAGGAGCTGATGGAATGAGCCTGCTCTGGTTGATTTTTGCCTCCGCTTCATTTCCACAAAGCAGAAATGGCTGGAAAAGCAGATAATACGTGAGACAACGTTTGTTCACACATGTGGCTCCACAGCCAATCGAGAGCATTTCTAATCCTGTCTTTGATATTCCACCCACTACATGTTCTGCCACTATATGGAGCTTCTTCCCGTCCTCTCTCACACTTGTGTTTATCAAGCATTCTATTTAAATTCATGCAAAAGGCATTCATGAGACATTTTAAGCTTTGCTATAAGACTGTTGCTTTTGAGCTGCCATCATTGTGGTTTCACCCATGCTGCATGTCGACAGCTGAAGTGTACAACAGGGCATCTCTTTCACAAACATGTTTGCTCAAAGAGAGAGAGGGAGAGGGAGAGAGTGTGATTTATGCATTCATTTACTCATTGTGCATTGACACTGTTGCACACACACACACTGTGGATTCACTCAAGTTGTGAGACTATCCCCGCCAACTGCTCACACAAACACACATTCACTCACATACACGTACCCAGGGCAGGAGGAAGTGTTGCCACGGCAACCGGCAGGACTGCTGCTTCTGCTACAGAGGCAGAGCCTGATGAAGCAGAGGGATGGAAGAGGAGGCAGCATGATGTATACGTGTGTGTGTGTGGCCTTGCGCTGACACATGGCTGGGAGGATTCTGACCCCCTCCCCCCAAAAAAAGACTTAGGTTAGAACAGTGGCAGTTGTAGATGTGAGCTACAGGCTGCAGACCAGGGCTAAAATGGATCACACGATTGGTTTGGAGCAGGGAGTGTGGATAATTGGCTTTCTGTACAAATCTGTGTCAAAGTAGAAGAAGGATCACTCTGTCTCTTATCTTTTGCCAACAACAGCAGCGGGCTTTAAAGAGAGCTTTGACTCAAAAAGACAACGATTGACAAAGTCAATGTCTGGTTGTGTGTGTATGAATCTGTTTGTGTGGCAGGAGTGGCCCTTTTTGCCAGGGAGCCGCATGCCACAGCAGCTTCTACGTAAGCCCTTCTTTTTCTCATGTGAAGCACATCAGCCTGGACGCTCCATAGAATTAGAACCAGGCTAGAGTTTAAGCATCATCTGTCTTTGAAGGACACATCACACATTCACACACATAATAGTGGGCAATATATCTGCCAGGTCCTCCTGGTCTCTTACCTCCTTTTGTATTTTCTGTGGTTTCTGAGTTTGTTTTTAGTGTGACTCTAGGGGTGCCATTGTTGGTCAGTCTGCTATGCTGGTCTAGACTAAAATATGTCAGTACTTACTGGATGGATTGGCAGTAAATTTTGTACAAACATTCATGGTTCCCAGAGGATGTATCCTATTGGCTGTGGTGATCCCTTGACTTTTCCCCGTAGTGCCTCTGTGGGGTTCGCATTTATGATTTTTATTAAATGTCTTCAAAACTGGAGAGAAAGCCATGAAAGTTGGTATGGACCTCAGGATGAATTGTAATAACTTTGATGGCTCCCTGACCTTTCAGTGCTACCCTCTGTTTGAAATTTAAGTTTATTCAGTACTTTGGTTTATGACATGCCCAGTGACTGTATATAAAACATGAATGAACCCTCTATGATGTCACCCATTGGTTTTCTGAAGCGAGGTTTTGAAATTCAAGTCTGGCAGTTGCCATTTTGGTAGTGCCTCACTCTGCCTAATGCAAAAACTGGCATTGAGGTGGAAGGTGAATGGAGCTTGCTAGACAGCTAGCGGCTAACCACCTGTCACGAAACCCTCCCACCTTCACTCGAAGCAGCCATACCCCATACCCCTAATTATGCATAACTTTAAGCCTCAATATAATTGAAACTAGTGAGGAATATAAAAAATTCACCCCCCATACAGTTGCCATGGAAGGGGAAATTAGCTATAGAGACCAAAACAGTTTTTTGTACCAGGCTGTTTATTTCTGCTGTTGGGCATTTTAACATGGGAGTCTGTGGGGATTGACTCTCTTTTGGATCCAGCCTCAAGTGGCCATTTGAGGAACTGTAGGTTTTAGCACTTCTGCACTGGCTTACTTTCTCAGCCTCGCAGGTTGCTGTTTGGACATTCCCATCAACCTCAGCTGTACTTTGTGTTTAGTGCTAACAAAGCAGCAACGGTTAGCATGCTAATATACTAAACTAAGGTGAACATGGCAAACATTAGACCTGTTAAGCATCTATAATTAACACTCTCAATGTGCACTTGTTAGCATTAGAATTTAGCATTAGCTCAAAGCACCACTGTGCACACTTTGCACAGCTTCACCCGGGCACACAGCTCCCTGGCTAGCATAGCTGTAGACTCTTGTGTTGATTGTTGTACTGCTGTTGAACTGTACTGGGTTAAATGAGAGCTGAATCTATTGTATTGTCCACCCCATTTATATCAGTGAGGCTACAGGCTAAATGACACATCTCTGTGTAACCAGTTCAGCAGCAGCACAATCTACATCCTCCAAAATGATCATACAAAAAGAAAAAGAAACTGAACATCTTCACCTTAATGAAGATGAACTTACTGCAGGACTGTTGGATTAGACTGACATCAGACACCTCGTTTCCTTCCTCTGAACCTTCAGCTGGGTGTTTGGATGTGAGTGTTATACCACACTGGGGGCGTGCCACTGCTTTTGTTCAGTAGGGATGTTGGCACAGCAGCCCTTACTGAATGTGCATGTGTGTGTGAATGTTTGCATAGTTTCTCCAGCACACAGCAGCTAATACCTCTCACCTCAGCTGATTTTACAGCTAAAACAAACAAAAGTTAGTTTTATTTTAAACCATGCATGGAGCATGATTCATTTCTCTTATTGTGCTGTTATGAACTATTAGGCATGATTTACCTCAGTGAGGGGAGCCACTGTGCAGCAGTAATGTCTTCATCTTGGGAGTAACCAAAGTTAGCTAAAAATCACTATGCCTGTCTCATTTTTACAAAAAAATAAACAGTGTGATTCTTAATAATATATGGTTTATTTATTCATAGAACTAGGGGTTTCATTTACTTTTTATATGTCAAATGTGTCACCCCTCTCTGAGTCTGTGCCCTAGACTGGCCACCCTGTCCAAAATTTGCTAGATACGTCCCTGCATTTTAGTGCAGTGGATTCAAACAGGATCTTGTCTAGATGCCGCTCAGAAACACAGAGGAGTGAGACCTGTATGAGTGATAGTGAACTGTCCAGTAGAGGCATCACCATGCTGTTGCATGGGGATAACAAGTGGTGTGCTGCACCTTGTTGGTTCCCTTGTTGTGACTGAAAGGCTATATTCGTTAAGATGACCTTATGGCGAACAGTTATGCAGGAGCTGTGATGTATTGCTGTGATAACTGGCCTTTTTACTGTACATAAGCAAAATGATGAATCTCTCTGTTTGACTGTTTGTCTCTGTCTGTCTCTTTCCAGTAAATATTGCCAACAGCCAGGAGTGGACCCTGAGCAGATCCATCCCAGAGCTCAGACTGGTGAGGCTTTACTTCAGTACACACCTGTGTCACAAACAGAAGAATGCAGTCCACTGGTTCATAATCATGGCATTTTATTTAAGAAGCTGCTTTAAGAGTTGAAACTCTCAACAGTTCTCATATTTGACATCCAAAAGCATCATTTTAATTAAGAAACTTTAAGTACAGATTACATTCTTTACCTGAAAAAATGCTTTAGAAAATATGACTTTTTCAGGCCTGAGTTGTGTCTGTAAGTATTCCTTTCAGGCTGCATACACTCCAGCCATCTTCACCGGTCAGGTTGGGCAGACTGTATGTAGTCTGAGAGGTAACAGCCATGGCAACAACCTCAGCTAAGCATGTCACAGCACCCACTGCTCACTTGCTCTTTGCTCGTCGCTCCTTGCTTTGAGCCAAGGTAATAACTAAAAGGGCTCAGATGAGTGTATACAACATGTTTTATCCAAATTACACACTTGTATAATAACATGATTTTGTACTGGGATCATTCTCATCTCAGCATTTTTAATTTTTTAGAATTCAACCACATTTACCTAAAAATACTTATGTACTTTTACTTAAGTACAGTGTTGGGGAAATTACTATGAAAATGTAGCTTTGCAAACTATCGATTTATTTACACGGGAAGACGTTAAACTACAGCAAAACCACTCTAGAGAGAAATGTAGCACGGCAAAGTAAAGCTACTTAGAAAAAGTAGTTTAAACTACTTTGTAAAAAAATGACCAAAGTGACAACATACTGTACATGGTATACAAAAAGAAAACTCACATACCAGCAAAAAATGGCACTCAGTTGAGTTTATTTACTATACCTAGTGTCCTAAACAGTCTGATCTGGGCTTTTCACAATCATATACTTCTTGTACACAGATCTGTCTCTCAGTGCTCTTATCTAAAGGGTCAAAGAAGCAATAGTACAATAAAAATCATTCCTTAATTTTCATGGCCCAAAATGTTTTATAGTTGCAGTTGTTAACTACACAAAAATGGCAACAATGTAATTTAATCTACTTCAGTCACTACACAACTATGAATGTAGGAGAACTACCAGCAAGTTAGTGCAAAATGTAGTTAAACTACTAGTTTAAGCAGTGTTGAGGAGTAGTGAACTACATACTATATATTTAAGTACTTCCTCCAACACTAACTATATTGTATGTTCATATCAGGGTTAAAAAAAGAAATCAATACAGGAATCAAACATCTGATGAAGGAACTAAAATTCACTGACACTCTAAAACTAACTAAAAGGAACAAAAACATCTGATGAAGGAACTAAAGGTTTCTGGTTTGATTGGCTTTGAATTCAGTCAGAGTTATATTTGATACATTACACGGTGATGCTGATGGACACTGACCCCGAATGAACTTCACGGTGTTGTATTACCTCTCTTCTTTTCTCAGGGCATTCTGGGAAGTCTGAAAAGTGGCAAGTCAGCGCTGGTGAACAAATACATCACAGGCAGTTATGTTGCACTTGAGAAAGCTGAGGGTAAGAAACCTAATGTCATGAGATTGGCTCCTCTAACTGGTCTAATGCTGTCCAAGAGTTGTTTTTGGCTTATAAATAAAAAATGTAAAATGTATCTCCAGTGCTTCTTGCTTACTAAGCCTTGTTTTTAATTATTTTTCAATGATTCAGGGAGATGTCTGAAGATATTTAGTGCAAACTGGTGTGTGATATGGCTTCATCCTGCATCTGTCACGTTGCCACCAGCTGTATAATAATAAGTCCTGTCATTGCCATTATTCTTCTCAGGTGGCAGGTATAAAAAGGAAGTGCTTGTGGATGGACAGAGTCATTTATTACTGATCCGGGAGGAAGCTGGGCCACCTGATGCACAGGTGCTTCTTTTGTGTGAATGTGTGTATGTGAGATACAGCAGTTAGTATGCAAAACTGCAACACTTGCTGATTTCATCATCCATCAGTGAACAGTGAACTCATTTGTCCCCACCCCACCCCCAAACGACCCACCCACCTCTTCAGTTCAGCAGCTGGGTTGACGCAGTGATCCTGGTCTTCAGTCTGGAGAACGAGGCCAGTTTCCAGGAGCTCTACCAGCTCTACAGCCAGCTCAGTGCACAGCGCGCAGACATCCCAGTCATAGTGGTGGGCACCCAAGGTCAGCACACTAATCACATGAACCACACCCACAGACTTATGTATTCTTGGACTACACCAGTCAGAGGTACAGACTAACTAGAAGCCTGCACTGTAAATAATATAAATAAATAAAAATAAGGTTAAGAACTCAGGATTTCCAGCAACAAACTTTAATCATATTTTGAGTTGGGCCATTTAACTTAATTTAAAAGTTTACTTTCTGTTTATGCAACTTAGGATGTTTACATCCACTTTAAATCCTTGGCTTAAAATTGAGCTTGGATTCTTTGAGTTATCATGAATTGAAAACAAGTCAGGGGTAAAGGAGTAACAGACCACTCATCATCAAGACACATAACTAACTCCAGAGACAAATGAAGGATTTCTGAGAAATTTTAACTTCAGTGCAAAGCATTCTGGGAAATGTATATGAGTAAGTTAACAATGGCTGGTTGAAATCACTTCCACATTCACTTGTTCACTACCCCCTATGTAATGTGCAGTTAGTTCACTCAGTAGTGAACAGTAAATTAAGATTTCATTTTGTTTCATCACTAACAGCTGTAGAGCTGCTCAGTGGTAATTCTCTCATCTGTAATATGCAGAGTATTGCATTGTGGGATTGTTAGCAGGAGTATAGTAGTTTACATGCCATGGATACTACTGTTATTATCGCCACAGTGGAATTTTTGAAGGAGCTATATAGTGGACAGATACACACTCAGCATCCAGAGACTGTTAAACAGTAAATGTAGCACGTTCTCACTTCATAATGAATCCCAGTTTTCAGCAATTTACTCCCTTTCACTGAAACAAGAGACGAGATCCATTGGCTCCATGTCGGTTTTAACATTTCCAGTGTGGATAATTAAAGTTTAATTGTTATGATAATGCTTTATTTTGCAGGTCTGCTATTTCCTAATAATTGCTTGAAAGTTTCCAGCACAGATCCATGTAGTTTGTTAAAAATTACACAAAGAGAAAAAGTTGAGACAGATTTTTAGTTAGTCCACAGAGTTGTGTTAATTTCTTCCAGGGAAATTTTTGTAAAAGAAATTCCTCAGTTCAAACTTCAGTTAGTATTTAATATTCATTTATTTATTATTAGAGATATTATTCTTCATTTGTGCTGAATTATGGCTGTTTGTAGACAAATATCACACTTTGCATGTGTAGCCCACCTTCTGTCCTCTGAATATAAGCCTCAAGTTTCGGCTAGCTTAGCATTTAACAAATTATATTATTCTTAGGAAATTATTTGAAAATATACTGGAATTTGCAGACCTGTAAAATAAAGTGTTTCCATTGTTATTTATGCCAAAGAATTGTTGAAGTATTTATTTGTTGTGTGTATATCATATGAAGTCTCAGTGCTGTTGTGTCATAAGTCTTCTAACACCTCCTGATCTGTTTTTACTTAGATAAAATCAGTAGCACCAACCCCCGTGTGATTGAGGATCAGAGAGCCAGACAGCTGTGTATTGATGTACGTCACTCGCTGTTCTACGAGACCTGCGCCACCTATGGGTTCAATGTTGATCGAGTGTTTTCAGAGGGTCAGTTTACTCACACTTAGTGCTGTCAATATGCAGAAAACACTGGATGAGGGCCCTGATCCACCATGAGGAGAAGCTGCTATTTCGTCACCGATGTTATGATGTGTGTTTTTCAGCTGCCCAGAAGATTGTAGCTCAAAAGAAGCAGGCAGCGCTGCTCGCCTGCAAGTCTCTTCCTAACTCACCCAGCCACTCCGGAGGCTCCACACCTGGATCAGCTTCGTTCCCTGGCCAGGTACCACGTCCATGACATGCTACACATCTGGCCCATCCCACATGCAATTACATGATGCTACTTATAGGTAGTAATCACATTATTAGGTACTTCTGTACCATATATTGCAATTCAACATAACAGCTCTGCCATAAATTCTACTTTTACAAAGTGTATAATTTTTTACTTGACAATGACAAATGGGTAAATTCTTGAGCTGATTTATGTTGTTGTGAAATTCAGTTGCACGTAATTTATCTGGTTTTACAACATTTATTTATATGAGCTACAAAGTCAACTATCAGATTAGGATGAAATACAAAATGCCTTTTTTCGGTTTTCATTGCAGTTACTGCAAATGAATGCTTATGCCAGTCTTTAGCAATGGCATGTACTGTTGTACCCAAGTAGTTATGACTATTCAGTGGTCCCCAGTCAATGCTACAGTCCTTACTTGTGCTAGCAGCTCAGTGTACAGTTTGTGAATTCTGCCCATTGGTGATGTTAGCTCATAAGATGGGCCATTAATACTAAAGACATCTTTAAGGCCCTGATCTGCACCAATGTATTCCTAGGTTATATTCATAAATTCATACATTGCAACTGTTTTTACACTCATTTGACAACACCAAAATTCTGAAGGGTCCTCATAAACACCTCCATTGATCCGAAATCAAAAATAATCTGGTCTTGTCCAGGGAAATCATCATTTCAGTCCATTTCTTGAGTTGTCAGTTTCTTCTTTACATAAACAAAGATGGTGACAGGAAAAGACATTGTCAATGTGGCTTTGGGCAAAACTCAAGCACAGCGCCACTAGTGGCCAGCTATGATTTACAGATTTACGCAGTCTGGCACAATTGGTAAAATCAAGGCTCTTTTCAATTCATACATAACTAATATACAACATACTTTTCTGTGCCATATTTCTATTTTACTCTTTTCTTTTGCTAAATCTAGGGGAGTTTTTTAATGTCAATAGACATAAACACCTAACAAATATTTTGCCTGAAAGATACTGTATCTTCATTATTTAAAAACCCCATAACTGTAAAACAAAGTGCATGTGTCTTTTGTCCAATAATTTATCACAGATATCCGCTAGTCAACCCTTTTTCTTCTTTATGAAATAGCCAGTTAGGATGTTGGATACTTATATGGTCAAGTGTGAATCCTGTAAATGTTGCTCTCTTATGGTAAACACAATCTTTTTCCAGTCTAGACAGATATTACATAAGACTTGATAAAAACAGGACACAGATGAAAGTGTTCTGATTGTGTTATTCTGGTGTTGTCTTCCAAATTAGTTCTTTACTTTGGCTGAGCCTCTTTATTGTTCTGCTCACCTCCACAGAGCTTTGGAAGTATTTTTAGAGGCCTTAATGCTGTTCTGTTGCCACAATAGTCGTCTTTTTTAAGATTAAGGTTTTCAGAGGAAAAGTAAGAATGTGAGGGCTCTCTCTAGGCAGCTTTGGTGGTTAAACATTCATACGAGGAAGAATTACTTGAATTATAAAGTTAATATTAAATGAAATCTAATTATAGACATCATCCACAAGACTGTTCATCACTTCCTCTACATCCAACTCAGCTCCATAACAGTCGATCATCAGCTGCTTTTTGTAAACCTGCTTCACTCATTTCATCTGTCAGCTCATTCTCACTCTCTCCATCTCTTCCCTCACGCCTCCATCCCATCTCCCCACCCCCTGCATCCTGACCTCCTGACCCCACTTTCCTCCCCCACTTGTCCACCTCGTCTCAGGCCAGTAATGGCCCCAGTAGTGGCTACGCCTACTCCCTCCCCTCCACCCCTGTGGTCAGTCACAGAGAGCTGAGGGTTGCATCTGGAGAGGGGGGAGGCAGTGTCAGCTCACGTTCGCTGAAGAGCATCCCAAGGCGGCCCTCCCTCTTCAAGGTCAGTAGTTACTAACTGCTGGTGTCTCATCTCTTAGTACCCTGTCATCTCTCAATGTCATTTCACTCCATTCAGCTTCCTCTCTGACTCTCTGCTGAAATCATCTGCTCTTTGAAACCCATCTGTTGGCTGTTTGTTTCAGAACCGGGACACGGATAAGAAAGCTGGTGATCCTAAAGGAGACCTGGGCAGCGTGCGGGGCGTTCCTATCAAACAGGTTTGGTTAACAATAGAAACTTTGCAAAATATAAAGAGAGTTTTCAATGAAGTGGGTGTTTATGTGCTTCAGTCTGCTGCAGCACAATAATATGTACCAATTCCCTCTTCAGGAACAAGGTGGGAACAAAAATGAGCTTGTCTGTTTATTTAATCTTACATAAGCAGCACATAAAAAAGCTGTTGTTTCATTCTTTTCAACCTTTCTCAAGGGTGTTCTATTAATACTGTACAAGTGCTTTCAGCTATTTTGTAATGCTGCTACGCCTTGAAGAGCTTGCTTCTGTTGCACCAACTCTAAATTTAGGCAGATTCAGAGTGTCAGTTCTTGTTTTTGACAGGGCATCCTGTGGAAGAGAAGCGGTAGCTCTCTGAATAAGGAGTGGAAGAAGAAATATGTCACCCTGTCCAACAATGGCACGCTGTCTTACCACTCTAGCTCCAGTGTAAGAGAACACCACAACACAGATCGATACACCAGTAAAACACAGTGACGCATCAGCAAACAGCCAAGAGAGGTTTCACTATCTGCTGCTTTTTAGATTCAACTGAAGGTTTAGCTTCAGTGGTTTTCAATAAAAGCCATGTTTGTCTTAAATAATCCTATAATTGCTTTGAAAGTTGTGCTAAATAGGGATCCCCCCCCAAAAGATTCAGAGTGATGAAACATTTGTACAGTCATTAAGTTTCCTACACCCAGTAGAAACTGTTGTCCTCCTTAAAGAAAATGTAAAAAAATAATGCATCTTTAAAGCACTCTTCAAAGTGAGTTGTTAAAACTGACCATTAGTTTAATCTCTTTCCCAAACAACTATGCTGCTGTAGTAGCAGTGATAACTGTATATCAACTTTTGGATAATAGCAAAAGTTAAGGAAAACAGCAGTATGTTTGTATACCATAAGTAAACATTAGCATGTTTGGCTAGCTAGCCCACTGCTTACACTAAAAACCCCATGTTATTTTCAAGACCAGGGGCATTTCATACTTCATTGTTTTGAGAAGTTTCAGGTTTCTTTTAAAAAATCCCTATTCACCCCACATTCACTGTGTAGTAGTATTTATTAGATGTGTGGAAGTTTACACTCCGGCTGCACCAAATTAACTTGTCAGCATTTGGCTAACATTAATAGTGAAACAAACAGTTTGAAAATACAGGCAGTCACACTTAAATCTAACCTTTGTTCTGCTTGTCTAAGTGTGTAAGCTTGCAGCCAGGAAGCTGTGTACCTGTTAGCTCACTACATTTGTTAAATGCCAATAAAATCAACTTTCTTTGGCCAGAAATGAGAAGCTGCTTTTGTTCACCTCTGGCTGAAATCAAAGAATTACAAAATCAAAAATTACAAAAAAAGAATTGTCATAAATTTGCCACTTTTATATTTCACAAGCATAGCAGCACTAATTAAGCTGACAAGGCTTCATGAACGGTCAGTAATGATAAATGCTAAAATGTAGCCATATATTAACACAAGTAGAGATGAGTCATAAGGTCAGTAAGCTGACTCAGTAATGTTTCTGTTTATATCTATGTCTCTCTAAATTTAGCTGGCATTAGTTACTGGTATGAGCTAGTGGTAATACTAGACTAAGTATATCTGTACTGAACTTTGATGTGATGTTATGTGGTTTTCAGGACTACACACAGAATATCCATGGAAAGGAAATTGACCTGCTTCGTGTGACAGTAAAAGTTCCTGGGAAACGTCCTCCGAGGGCTGTTGCCCCTATGGGCCCCTCACCTGCCCCACCTGGCTCTGTCGCTGGAGTGAATGGTCTGAGTAAGGAGCTGACAGCCACTGATAGCACCGCTACAGGTACTTCTATCTGCGAGTAAACAGCGCATGCATACTAGTCACTGATGGTCTGGGAACAGGGGCAGAGATGAGGCTGGTGTCAGTCTGTTCTTTTTAACTGCCAACAATTTTTTTAAAATACAGAAACTAACAATGTGTTAGTGCATTTTTAAAACTTTCTGACTTCCTCAGCCTTGTCTGTAAAAAATGGGACACAAAGGTATATTTTAGGAATCCTCTGAAATGTCCAAAAAAAACAGCTGGACACTGGAGTTTTTTGCAGACATAACTCAAACTCAAGTAAATTGTTTACCTGTTAGGGACTGTTCTTCACATCACTTCCTCTGGTGAGGATTTGTGGCAGCAGGACAGTGTATATGGGATTTAGTCATAATAGTCATAACAGATTTAGTCATAATAAACTACTATTACTTCATGGTAATGAAGGCGCATGTCAGCCAGTACAGCAGTGTGGCTCACTGATGTGTTTTTGGACAACCACAGAGCTCTGTGGCACAGAGAAGTTAGATATCAGTCTTTGGATATGCAGACAGTCCGTGTTAGTTGGATTAACGTATTGTTGATTTGAGGTTTTTTATTACAGAATATCACAAGATTCATCTATTATCATTTCTGTATTTTAAAGTAACTCATGGCTGGTTTCTGAGGTCCTTATTCTTGCACAGCATGGAGATATGGTCTACAGCCTATACTGTATATCTTTCCTTTCTTTCTGTCTGTCAGTTCCTCAGTTGTGTCCAGCCACTCTGTCTGTGGTGGACGATCGGTCTGGTGGTTTTTCTCCTCAAGGCGGGGAAAGAGGACTTCAGCGCTGCCCTTCCTCATTGTCCACCAAGGCACAAAGTGTCGGTATGTGCCGTAGGAAATAAACTTCTTCAGCAAAACCACTCTGGCTTTAGCTCCACTATGACTGCAAACAATGCTGTCACAGATGATTAATTATATTTGCACCCAATGTCAGATGCCCTTGAAGGGACAGCCAGTCCTTTTACTGGAAAAGACCCCAGCCAATCATCTCCCATGAGCGACAGGAAGAAGAACAGGAGGAAGAAGAGCATGAATCAGAAAGGAGATGCAGCCGTTGGGCAAGCTGAAGGTAATGTCACAAAGTCTTTACCGGGAGCTACACCTGCTACTGCTCATAGTATGATTTAAAAAAAAAGAGTTTTATGTGCAAATTATATAAAAATGTACATACGCAGATAGTGAATGTAAAAACGTATCAACAGGGCAAATAGAATTAATGAATGACTAGAAAGTGAACACATTAATAAAACATTAAAATGTTTCTGAGGCTTTTTGACGATGATTCTTCACCAATTGTTATTGTAATCAACTTTAGCCTATCAAAAATGTTATGTTGTTGGCATTACTTACGTAGTTGTACACAGATTTCCTTTTCTTACACAGTACTTTTAACTTCTGTCTCTTCTGTAAGAACATGGTTTAGTGAACGTTTGTCTTACTCTGAGTATTTCTTAACAGCCTTTTTTAACACTTGGATTTGTCTGTCTCTGTTTCACTTTGTCCTTTTCCTGTGCTTATCTCTTGCTCTGCAGCCAAACGCAAAATGTGGAAATTAAAGAGCTTTGGTAGTTTGAGAAACATTAATAAGACAGGTAACAAGTGAGGGTGTTGGAGCTGAATCAGCTTGCGCTCAGATTTGCATACAGTATTTTTCCTCTGTCTGTTTCCCGCCTTCATGTGCCTGGCATATGTTACCTGCATCCCAAGAACTGACATGCTTTCATCACAATAACCAAAACATTGATCTGTTCCATCAAAATGATGTTTTGCATTTATTTTTTTGTAATTGCTTCTTTGACTATGAATTCATAACGCCCATTATATTAATTAGTCATCTTACTATGTCTACAGATCTCAGCTAAATTTGTTCTTTCCTTTCACTTGCAGAGGAGGAGAACACAGACTTCATCATAGTGTCGTTTACGGGGCAGACGTGGCACTTTGAGGCTCAGAGCCTGGAGGACAGGGACTCATGGGTGTCAGCTATAGAGAGCCAGATCCTGGCAAGTCTACAGTCCTGTGAGAGCGGCAGAAACAAGGTAAAGACACTGACAGCTGGCACTGATCCACACCACTGGGATCTATAGCCAAGACATCGGAATGTCATTCGGACTGGATAAGTGTGGTCGAATGGTAACAAGGAGAGGGAAGGTAGTCAGAACTGAGGGGGTTGTACTACCTGAAGGCAACATAGGAGATGTTGAGGACAGCTACAAGTACCTTGGGATCCCGCAGGCAAATGGGAACCATGAAGAGGTAGCAAGGAAAGCAGCAACTACCAAGTACCTGCAGAGAGTAAGGCAAGTCCTGAGAAGTCAGCTGAATGGAAAGAACAAAGTCCAGGTGATTAACACCTATGCCCTGCCGGTCATCAGATACCTCACTGGCATAATAAGCTGGCCAAAGGAGGAGATAGAGGCCACTGACATCAAGACAAGGAAGCTCCTTACAATGCACGGCAGGTTTCACCCCAAGTCCAGCATCCTGACACTGTACACTAAGGGGAAGGAAGGAGGCCGAGGATTAGTGAGCGTCGGAGCCACTATCCAGGATGAAACAACAAAGATCCATGAATACATCAGGAAGATGGCCC